TCACTAACCGTGATCTTATTCAAAATTCATAAGCGGTTTTCTAAAATTTTCAAGGAGACAATGGAGCCCATTTTCGTTATGAAAATTTCAGAAAATCACTTAAAAATTTTCAGAAACTCACTTGAAACTTGAAAAAGATAATGGTTAGCACTGAATGATTGGCATCTGGTTTGAACCATTATGGCTAAATTTGGTCAGAGAATGAGAGTTTGGCAACATATAGTTTATTTTTGCAATTAAAAAAACCCAGCAACGTTTTCTGGGGAACCCCGCACATACGGGAAACTCTGGATTCCCTTGGATCAGCCTCTCAATAATGCTACATGCATACATACTTGACGATAAAATCAATTTTTCAAGTTTAAGAGAAGAGGGACAAGCCCATTCACAATAAGCTTTCTTCTCGCAACGATTAATAGTCCCATCCTCCCAACTCGCCTCTTCCTCTGCTAATCTGGAAAGAGTAGCCTTGTGGGGAGGGGAGATTGCCCTGCCATTCTTAACCTCTAACAGACTACACTATAGGTCAGAAGTATTCTTCATCGACCACACTCTTCATTAAATATTACGGTGTACCTCAAATTCACTCTGCTTAGTTTACTGTGTGCCAGTACTGCTAATGCAACGATTCTTGAAGTTTAGAGCGAAGTTGAGAGGGTCAAGCAGTCACCTCCTGGAAGCTACTCAGGCGATGAGAATGTAAAAGCCGTGACTGGGCAAGCACAGAGGCAGTCACCCTACGGTCACCAAGACAATCAGTATGGTCCCCTTTTGCTTTAGCTGCAGATACAAGTTCCACTCGTTAAACTTTTTCATTTGTTGTCTGTTGTGTAGTTACCGCCAAGCGCGCGCTACTGGGACTATAGTGGCGGCGCTTTAGTTCCTTCGCTCTTCTTCTTTATCGTCGTGTCAGTTTGATAGCAGTTTGATAGCAGTTTGATAGATAGCACAATGCTGAAAGATCTGAAAGGCGTCAGTTGCTACTTGGATGACGTCCTCATCACCGGTAGGACGCCGGAAGAGCATTTGGCCAATTTGGAAGCAGTCCTAAAGCGGTTGTCAGAGCGTGGAGTTCGTGTGAAGAAGGAAAAATGCGCGTTTTTCCAGAAGGAGCTGCGTTATCTGGGCCACGTGATCAGTGCTGCAGGTGTCAGCACGACACCAGAGAAGATCGAGGCTCTGCTGAAGGTTGCTGCACCCTCAAGCAAGCAGCAGCTCCAGTCATTCCTGGGTATGGTAAATTACTACGGGAAGTTTGTTCCACGATTATCCACCCTGGCGAGCCCGCTCTACAGGCTGCTGCGTCAAGACCAGCGCTGGTGTTGGGACAAAGCGTGTCAAGCAGCGTTCGAGGAAATCAAGACAGCGCTAGCAACACCATCGATTCTGGCACACTACGACCCAAGTAAGCCATTGCAAGTTGCGTGCGACGCATCCCAGTATGGCATAGGCGCTGTTCTGTCTCATGTGACTGAAGATGGAAGCACTCGTCCTGTGGCGTATGCATCACGCACACTGACCGAAGCTGAAAAGAAGTACAGCTAACTTGAAAAGGAGGCACTAGCCATTATTTTTGGGATCAAAAAGTTCCACTTATACATCTATGGTCGAGTTTTCACTCTCGTCACGGATCACAAACTGCTACAGACTATTTTGGGCCCAAAGACAGGCATTCCGTCTATCGCGGCAGCACGGTTGCAGCGCTGGGCTGTTACCTTGTCAGCGTACAAGTACTCGTTGGTGTACAAGAGATCCAGTGACAATGCAGAGGCCGATTTTTGCTCTAGGTTCCCTCTCGAAAGTGGGAAAGACGATAGTTGCGAGGGCGAAGAGTCCTTCTATGCACTGCGGCTAGAGTCAATGCCGGTGTCCTCTCAGGAGATTGCACGCGCTACGTCGCGCGACCCGTTACTTTGTCAAGTACTTGAATACACAAGCATGGGTTGGCCGACGCACGTGCAAGAACAACAACTCAGACCGTTCTTTGACAGACGCTTGCAGATGAGTGTTCATCAAGGGTGCCTAATGTACGGCATGAGGGTTGTTGTTCCGTCCCAGCTGCAGGAGCCCGTGCTCGACGAACTGCATCAAGGCCATCCCGGCATCGTGCGAAGTAAGGAGCTGGCTCGCAGCTATGTTTGGTGGCCATCAATTGACTCAGACCTTGAAAGAAAGGTACGAAGCTGCCAAGCATGCCAGGAACAGCGTAATGATCCATGCAAAGCGCCTCTTCACCCCTGGGCATGGCCGACAGCACCGTGGAGACGACTAAACCTGGACTTTGCAGGCCCGTTCCGCGGAACCATGTTCCTAGTCGTGGTGGACGCGCACTCAAAGTGGCCAGAGGTGTTCACCATGCAGAGCACTACGACCGTAGGTGAGGTGCCTACGTGAACTTTTCTGCAGGTTCGGAATTCCGGAAACAATCGTTTCAGACAACGGGCCGCAGCTGGTGTCCGAGGAATTCAAGGTGTTCATGAGGAACAACGGGGTCAGACACGTCGTGAGCGCCCCATACCACCCGAGCACAAACGGCCTGGCAGAACGGTTTGTGCAGACACTGAAGTCTGCACTACGCAAGTCATCCGCTGGTGAGTCTCTGGAAGAAGCATTGCAACACTTTTTGCTGACGTACCGGAATACTCCACATTCAACAACAGGAGAGACGCCAGCAAACTTGTTGATGGGCAGAAGATTGCGTTCCAGGTTGGATGTAATCAAGCCTACGGTAGAGGGGAAAGTGATCCACAAGCAATTTATACAAAGTAAGCAATGGAGGACAAGCAGAGAAGAAATCTGCCCTGGTGACAATGTCCTAGTGCGAAATTACAGGAGTTCGCCGAGGTGGTTACGTGGTACCGTCCTCAAGAAGACTGGTCCAGTATCTTACCAAGTCCAGGTTACCACGCCTCGAGGCAAGTTCATCTGGCGTCGGCACCTCGATCAACTTTTGAGCCAAACACGGCCAACGGCAACGCCGGTACCTTCGGACACCGACGACGCTGAGGGGTTCCTGGTCTTTTCACCAGGCGAGCCAAGTGTCCCGGCCACGGTACAAGAGCATGGGCCACAGCAGCCTCACACCATCCCGCAACGGGATTCTGTACCTCCTACAGGCCGATCTACTTCTGAAGGACGCTACCCATCGAGAGAACGGCGTCCGCCTGACAGATACCAAGCTCGCTCCTAACTTTTGTATAATACTGCCGTTGGCGCTGCTACGTAATTAAAGGGGGAGGAGTGTTGTGTAGTTACCGCCAAGCGCGCGCTACTGGGACTATAGTGGCGGCGCTTTAGTTCCTTCGCTCTTCTTCTTTATCGTCGTGTCAGTTTGATAGCACGAGAGGTTCGTTCTAGTTCCACGCTCCATGGAATAAACCTCGGGCCATGGTCCTCCGGTCTACTGTGTCTGTTGCCCCGTCAAGACACAACATTGTCAATTCATCTGCCAATTTTATTTGTGGCATTATATGTTTAATTTTAGAACGCAGAGAGGCCTTCATTCATACTAAGCTAGACGATGCACTAAACTTGTTAGGCCTACTTGTAGAACACCTGCAGATCGAGTATTCAATAAAGTGCTACCCCAAGCTGCCCCAGGCGATGAGCATGCTCAGGCTAAACGAGAGTATGCCAAGAATGGAAGCACCTTGGTGATGATGCGCCCATGGACGCTTGGAGGATCCATTACCACCAACGAAGTCTAGTGGAGGCAATAGAGATTTTATATAGAATTGGGCGTCTGTCCCCTGGATCCAGTAAAAATAGTCCCAGCTGAAATGGTCCCCGTCAAAATGGCCTCAGACAAAATGGTGCCAAATGTGAACCAGGGCAAAATAGTTGCAGTAAATATTGTGGCATAGGTTGCTTGCTCTTGGGGGGTTGTTGATTGCCTGTAAAAATTGTTACAGCCAGTGATAGTCAGTGGTTACCGTTACATGATCTTGTGATGAAAAACAAATTTGGTGGAACGAAGTGAATACTGCAGACGGTTTGTGCTCAGCAGCAGTGCCACCACAATGGTTGCACAGTAATACTACTAATAATAATCTGCAGTGAAAGCATATTCTTAGTATTTCGTTTACACGCTGAGACTGCTAGCTTTAAGAAAGGTATTTGCTATGCCCAAAAAATCAAGCATAGGCTCCAAACAGCGGAAGCAAAGTTTGCAGCCTTCATTTCAGGCAAGAAGACCAGAGGAAAGGCGATCAAAGTCGGATGCTGTACCAGCCAGCCGACAACAGCAAGCAGAAAATCGGTTGAAAACGCTGCAAGCAATCCCGTTGTAGAGCGGCATCCGTCATAGTAAACAAACATTTAGAGCAAATTTCTTGGTTTTACTCCAGCCTCTTTAAAAATGACTAGAATGTGAGCACTTGGTTTTTACAGTTTCGGGTAAAAATCTCATACGCACAAATCTAAATAATTGTTCATGAGGGCAAGAAAAAAAAATCGCTAATACTCGACGATGGAGCAGTTAGATAAGGCCACAACCCGAGTGGGGCCTCCTGGTGCTTATATAAAAACCATCACATAACAATCCAGCTTTTAGCCAATGACTTCCAGAAGATGTGCTAAGAACAGTACACATTTGTTGAGTAAGAAGAAATGAAGAAATCTCTGCGAACGCTCAGTTCGACGCTGCTATTCAAATATCGTACCACAAATGCTTGGATCTGCTGAATATGCTTTACCACTCGAGTACAGCCAGTCTAACAATAAAAAATTTTGAAGAGCTGGTGCTGAAGAGTGCAATAAAGCCAGTTTGAAGTTCCCGTAGACTCCCCGAGTCTCCTTCCCACGTCTTTTCTCAACGCAACACAATGTCTTGACATGCATTACAAAAAAAAATACTGAAAGCATGTCACCTCTAACCCAAGAATCGGCACAAGAAACCACAACTCTATCTGTTGCAGTATGCACATCTACTTGGCAGTCAACTTCCTGGCGACGAAACGACTACAGTGATGTCCCAACACCATGCAGAAAGGCAAAGTGGGAACCTTCTAGAGAGCTAAGTGTAAACCTTTATTTATGAGAAACAACAAAACAGAAGTCTGTTTACATAATTATCATCTGTAGATTTTGCTCAAAACAAACCAGATAAGAGTAAAAAAAAAAAAATAGACAGCAATGATTTAAGATATGTTAACAGATGGATTACACAATGCAAATATAAGCATGCATTGATCAACACTTCAAAGGACACTATCAAAGCAACAAAATAGTGTAACCACCCAAGCAGTTGAGAGAGTGATAATCTCAAAGCAGGTGTCATATAAATACGTTACACAGATGCCAGTGCAGGGAAAGACAAAAAGACATTGAGTATGGACACAATTAGTTCCAAATCCTATATAGCTTTTGCCAGCGCAGTCTTGAAGGGGCATTACACAGCATCAAAAACTTGTACAAAGTCGATTTATAGCACCACCTGACGGGCATTGCGGGGATTCAACTAGCGATGTCCCAATCAGCAGCAGAGAGCACTGCGGTGCACGTGCACAATTCGCAATCAGTCCTCCATGAAGATAAATGCTAAAATGACATGCAATAAAAATTTGGTTTGGGCTAGTTGGTACATATCGTTTAAAAGCCGCAAACAAAAACAGGACGAAAAAAGACACACATACGACACGGATAAGTTATCTATCAGTATACGTTTAGGTGATTGGGATCGACAGTTTGACGATGATTAGTGTTTCATTAAATCAGCTGGAAGTTGGCACCTGTCTGTGTCATATACATATTTTTTTGTCCTGTTTTGATCGCTAAAATGAGGTTTTAACATGATACAGAATATCAAAATAAAATTTTTTTAAAAATTTGCTTAGTAGTAAAATGTGCGAGATGAAAAATCAAGGGTCAAAATTGAAACTGCAAATTCTTACAAAAGCAAAAAGTTCTGGTCATACACTTGCGTTCTTCACGCTCGCATCTTCAACACATATAAAAAGAAATATAAAAAAAAAGAAACCAATGAAAACATTTTTACAAACATGCTAGACCGCACCTTTGACCGACAATTTAGAGAAGTGCAAATAATCTCGGAGTAACAGCAAAAACATGGCCCAGTGTGCATCATTACGCAAAACAAAGAGAGTTAGCTGCTCTAAAAAAGTGAAACAATGTTTACCATTACGAAGACCTGCCTCTTGATCACTGCTGGCAAGAAATCATTCTCTACTCCCTAATGCCTTAGTATGATGACAAGTAGTGGCGTTTGCACGAGGCTCAAGAGCAATGCCAAAAATTAAAAGACGTTCACAACTCTGTGTAATGCAAAAGTAGAGTGCAGCTCTTGAGGAGGAGGAGGGGAAAATATGCCCCCTCCTCCACCTCTGCTCGCCCTCCTTCCCATACCCTCCCCTCCCTCACAATTTTCCTGCTAATTTTAGTAGAAAAATCGAGGCCACGTGACCTCAACACCAATTCAGGTTGGTGTTGAGGTCACGTGGCATCAATTTGCCTGCTAAATCTAGCGGAAAAAATATTTGTTCATGGGTGACGTGACAAAAAGTCACGCGACATTATTTTCTCCCCCCTAACTTTTGCAGGAAGATTGACATCACATGACCTCGACATCAATTCAATTTCCTGCTAAATTTAGTGGGGCGGTTACGCCAATGGTGCAACCGCCCCGCTACACATATACATTTCAAATAAAATGGCATACAATTCTGTACAAGTGAAAGAATTATACACATTCCAAAGTATGGCAGGTTTAACTTACGGGCTAACCGTTAGGCGTTCCGCACGTGTGCATCCGATTCTGGAGGATGAGACTCCTATTCTAAGCAGTTTCTGGCGCATTCTTTGCACTTGTAAACATCTTCACCACTAGTGTGTGTTTGATTATGGCCTCTCAGATGTGAATTCTGTACAAAGGCTCAGCATCAAAACTTGCACTTAAAGGTTTTTCACCTTGTATTCAATTACGGTGGCTCAAATGGGAACTGCACAAACGTTTGGGAAAAGAGTTTGCACTTGTATGACTTATCACCTTCCTTTGTTTGACTGTAGTCACTCGGATATCTATTCTGAACAGAGGCTTGGGGGCACAGTTGCATTTACAAGGTTTTTTGCCACTGTGTTTGATTCTGGTGAATCTGAAATGCCTTTTTACCTGTGTCTTTGATTACGGTCTCTCAGATGAGATTCCCAAATAAAGACTGGAATCGCAACTTACACTGGAAGGGCTTTTCTCCTCTGTGTTCAATTACGCCTGGTCAGTATAGAAAATTCTTAGCAAAGGCATGCAGACACAGCTTGCATTTACAAGGTTTTATTCCTGTGTGCCCTTGATTATAGAGGGTCAAAAGGGAATTATCAGCACTCTTTGGGGTAAACTTGCACTTAAATGGCTTTTCACCAGTGATTGTTCGATAATGATTCGACAGATGAATTGTCCCAGGAAGGCTTGAGGCCATAGCTTGCACTTATATGTTTTTTTTTACCACGTATTTTTATTGTGGTGGAGCAGACTGAAACTGCGAGCAAAGGCTGGGGGGCACTGCTTGCACTTGTAAGGCTTTTCACCAGTGTGTGTGTGATTATGGGCAATCAAACGGAAATTATGAGCAAACCCTCGAGGGCAAAGCTTGCACTTGAACAGCTTATCCTGTGTGTGTTCGGATGTGGCAGAGCAGACAGTTCTTGTGGGCAAAGGCACAGGGGCACAGCTTGCACCGAAATGGCTTTTCATCAATGTTGTGTTCGATTATGGGCTTTTAGATATGCATTCCGAGCAAAGGCTTTTGGGCAAAGCTTGCACTTAAATGGCTTCTCACCAGCGTGTGTTAAGTTATGCTTTCTCAGAGATGAATTCAGCGCAAATGATTTTGGGCAAAGCTTGCACTTAAACGGTGTTTCAACTATGTGTGTTTTACTGTGATGAGACAGACTGCTATCATCAGCAAAGGCTTGGGGGCACAGCTGGCACTTAAAAGGCTTTTCAAGAGAGTGTGTTATATTATGCCTTCTGAGATTAGTAATGCTAGCATAGGCTTTTGAGCAAAGCTTGCACTTAAATGGCTTCTCACCAGCATGTGTTAAGAACTTATGCTTTCTCAGGGATGAATTCAGAGCAAATGATTTTGGGCAAAGCTTGCACTTAAATGGCTTTTCAACTATGTTTGTTTTACTGTGATGCGACAGACTGCTGTTGTCAGCAAAGGCTTGGGGGCACAGCTGGCAGTTATAAGGTTTTTCACGAGGGTGTGTTCCATAATGCCTGGTCAGCATGGAAATGTGAGAAAAGGCTTGGGGACACAGCTTGCACTTAAACAACTTTTCACTCTTGTGCTTTTGAGTGTTGCTTGGCACCTGGAATGTGGAGCCAGATGCTGCAGGGGGACGCTGGAACTTCAACTGTTCATCAGCATGAGCAACCAGGTGGCTCACAATCCCACGATGCTCTCTGGTGACATAGGTGCAGAAACAGCATTCGAACCAGATGTCCTCGGTGGCTTTTAGTGGGCAGCTGATCTCTCCCAAAAGTGCAGCTCCCTCACCTACAAGGCCTCATGTGTATTAGTACACACAAGCACTACCAAGATTGCCACATGGTTTAGAAATAAGCAGCCATTATTGCAGTCGTGCTTCTGTTGAATGGATTTTTTATTTTTACTTCTGTTCAAGGAAGCATTGAAGAGAGTTGACTCACTTAAATGATTCGTTAGTGACCAAATAAACCTATTTAAGCACATATTATTTCTCAGAAATGCTATTTTTAAAGTGATTGGTTTCTATAGAAACTCTCCATAGACTTGCTCATGTTGGTCTGACCGCATGACATTATGATTTCTATGTTAAATTATACTGGAAAATTGATGTTAAGTGACCACTTCCAAAGTGCGGTATCATGACAAATTTAGCAGGGAAATTGATGTCACATGACCACACCAGATTATGGCATCATGCTAAATTTAGTGCACAATTGTCATGCGACACCACAATAAAAACTGACATAAATTTCTTTGCAAAATGTAGCATGGAAATTTGTAAGACGTCATACGACGTAATGTGATGTCAGGTCATGTGACACCTACGACACGTCAGGTGGCCTGGGGTCACGTAATGTCAGTCTGATGCGACTCTATGACTTGAAACTGCAATTTCAATTTTCTCACTAGATTTAGAATTGCTATCACGTGACCCTACGACGTCACTGTGTCAAGTGCGGGGAAATTTAATAACTTACTGAAACAACTACTTAATGTCATCTAAATAAATTATAAAAAACTGCTCTTATATACTGCATTCCATGCATTATAGGGTTTGAAAGATAAAGGTCACTGCCAATTTTTTTTATTAATTTTATGTACTTATTTTTAACATACTGTTTCTGACATCACATTGCCTGTGAAAATTATGTTTCAATATATTTGCTGACTGGCGATCTCTACGTGGCCCAAAAACTCTAAACACACACAAAAAACAGAATTTTGTGGACGGTTAATGAAATCTCCCGAAAACTCTAGCTCTCCGGTAAAAAAATAGACTCAGTAGAACACCCTCTGGTTTCACTCAAAAATAAAATACAACAAATGGAACCCTAGTTATGTCACATTCTCAGTGCCAGTGTGCAATAGAAAACTTTACAATGCTGCAAGCCCTTCTACATCATTCATAGGTCCAGATGGCAATTGCTACCATAGCCTCCGTTATTTTTTCAATGCCTGCACAACCAGTCCGGCGAGCTTTGCCTGACCGCAGTCAGTTGCCCCGATTAAACATCAGGACAGGGGTGGCCTCATCTACCCGTCCAGAAAGCTACCGAGAGTGCGGTACTGTTTGAGGAAGTTCATAGAAACTGCTCTAGCTAGGGGAAGATGTCAAAAGCAACCACTCAAAGAGGCAGTCAAGAATGCTACTCAAGTCCCGCTGCGGTGGAAAGTTCTAACGCACTCATCTCCCAGACATAACTCACAGATTTTGGGGGTGCTGCTGCCCAAGATTTTTCAACCTATTACAGCGGAGCTGTTAGGGGCTAGGTACCCCAGGATCGTGTCTGGTACTAAATGTCGACACAACACTCTGGTTGCCGCCGTCGTTTATAGATGGCGGTAGCTGTCCGGAGTGTTGTGTTTGCCGGTTGTCTGCTTGCCGCTGTCGCTCATAGGTCGCGGCAACCTTTCCAGCCTTTCCACCATGGCTTGACGACTTGCGGACGGCCATTACTTCATTCCCACCGTAGTGCAGCTTCGCTGGGCTTCCCTTCCTTCTTCACCAGGGTAGAAAGGCTGAAAGTTTTTTTTACTCACTTTGCCTCAAAAGTGACGGAAAAAATGACCTAGCCAAGATGTTCGTTACGAAGCTGCGTTTGCGAAAGGTGCTAAACTTTTGAAGTACCGGAAGAAAGAATATGTGCGATTTCCATTTTATGTGTGTTGAACATAAATTTACACGTGCTCAGCTTCTAATAGTGTGGTAGCCCACTATTACTATAACTCTGGAAAACCGTGTCAGCACTGCTCCACTGCACATTGCTGCATATTCCTGTCCCGCACTATGCGCACAAAGCCGGATTTGCACCAGGGCACTCCAAGAAGGCAGCTCTGCTTGGCGGCGAGCGCCAGAACTAGATGCAACAGTTGGCACCCTTTCATCTTGGAGGCAACAGGCAGGCATGGAAGGATCTAGGAGGCTATGGTGCAACTCATGGGTAGCAAAGCATACTTGTCCCACTTTGAGCACCACATGCCAATTAACTTGGGATCATTTCGGCTCATTCCACCTACAGAGGCGGCAAGCTCCGCCATCAGCCCATAAGGAAAGTTGCGCCCTGGGTAACAGTCACTATTACCATTTGACAAGTGCTACCCACAGTTTTTTCTGGTCTCGGAAGAAACGAGCTGGAAATGGGAGACGGCTTACTGGAAACAAGCAAAAGAGCAGTGTGTGAAATTAAAATGTAAAACTGTGTGCCGTGACACTTTTTTCATCTTGGATGGATCGATAAATAAGGGTGCAACACTTTGACTCGAGCCAATCCTGAAGCCACTCTGCCCGAAGTATCACTAAATTCACTCCTCATCTTACTGCTAATTTCTATCACCTCCCTGATTCTGTTCCTCCATTCCTCCCGCTGTCTCTTAGTTCGCTTCATCTCTTAATAATGTTCTATTCATTTATCAACCCCTCTAATACCAAAGCAATGAAAAAGTCTCCCACACTCTAGGTATGTACCAGACTTACCGTACCTACATGCTCTGCTGTTACCTTCACTTATACCCACTGTGTAAAATTTGTATATGACCCCTGTCTTCTCTACTTATAAGACCCGGTTCTCAGTACACCACTCTTTGCCACGACAGCGAAACCTCCTTCTGTATTGTCAAAAAGTGACCTTTTCGTAATCCCAATTTTTCTGCATAGTAGGCCTCTTTTCCTATCTCCATCCCCCTCATTTCTCCTTCAGCTTCCTTCACTGCCTTCTTAACTGCCTTTCTGTCCTCTTCCTTCTTTCCCATCATTAGCGCAGCATCTGTTAAAAGGCCCACTTCCTCTATTCTATGTCCAAACCCCTCGTGTATAGAAGGCCAACATGTATTATGTCCAACGTTCATTTGCTGTTGCTACGAACCTCTCCTCAAATTAAATTTTGCTGCTTGCCTCCCTCCTCTCAGAGAAAAACCGATATCACCCTGCATGTTTCCAATGGGGGTTCCTAGCTCTCCAAAGGATGCGTCTCTGGTGGAGTGTCTCCGAATCGGTGCAGACCCCCAGGTGTCTGTGGAGAGGGGTGGTTCTCATTTGAACCCGTTCGCATTTCTACCTTCTCGTTTTTACCTTCTCATTTCAACCCAGCGCAAAACAACTTTCGCGTTTCTCCCTTTCTCATTTCAACCGTTCTCAAAACAAACTTTCGGATTTTGACCCTTCTCAAAACGACTTTTCTCATTTTAACCTTTCTCATTTCAAATTTTCTCGAAACATACTTTCTGGTTTTGACCATTGTCAGAAAGACTTTTTCTCATTTTAACCTCTCTCATTTCGAACCCAAATTAATCCAACATCATGATCTCGCAATCTTTCTGCGGTATTTATGGCGAATTCGGGTAATTAATTGCCTTCGAGCCCTTGCCTGTGGCACCGGCGACCAAAAACGCGCCAGCGGCGCATCACGTGACCCTCTCCACCCGAATGCAAAGCACAATGAACTGGCGTTTTTATTTGACTGGGTCGCGAGTGAGCTCTGTTAACTTCTTCTTCGATCATTCTATGGTACCATGAGCACGCTGCATACGCCAACAACATAAATTATGACTCTTTGAGATGTGTGTAAACAGAAGCGGCTTCACAAAACTTTTCAAAATATTGGCATTACCACAGTCCGTACAGCTGACCGAATATTAAAATATAAAATCAATGAAAGGGCAGATGTATAAATCAGTGTGGTGCTGCCCGCACGCGCGTCAAACTTCAATAAACTTTGTTTGGATTTTCGATTAACTGTTGCCACGGAGGCTTGCCAGCGTCACTTTCCATATTCTGTTTACTGCTAGTAGAGAGTTTTAGTAGATCATTCCCATGACTCCGATAACGGTACCCGATACTCCGCCACCGCCTCCCTTGCGCATGCATAGTATCGTTATCGGGGCTATCGGAACGATCTACTAAAACTCTCTAGTACCTTTTTTGGAATCCTCAGTCTTCTCATTGCACCCACCCTCCTTGAAATTGTAATGCGTGTTCAAGTTTCAAACTGCATCACTATGCATACTTTTTTTCAGCGGTGTAATAACTTGTTATTACAGAGTTGTAAAATAAAGTGACGTATGATGCAGCCCGTGTCTCAGAGCAAACATACCTTACTCAGGCTGGGTAAATTCTTCCAAAAATGTTGACTTTCTTTGAAACATAAATTATCTTTCTCTTGGTTGTTTTTGCTATCTGTCTCAGAGCACAAAAGGGTGCCTGTCTCGACGGCTTCGTTTGCCACTCGAACCCGCTATTTGCCGCCTCAGCGAGCATTGTTTCGTTTGGTTCCCTATCCCGATTCGGATGTGACGATACCGGATACAGTCTGGCAGACAAGCTGCCCGACCTCTTGGAGCTCGGGAAAACTTCTGCTGGTAAATTGCCGGTACATGCCTGAGAATCGCAACCCGAAAAGGTTGCACCCGCCAGCCTTTGACAACGCAAACGCCTTTGCCGAAGATATGGGAGAACTTTTTTTCAGGGAAAATGACCACCCGAATTGGCCATCACAAGCAATAACACACGACTAGCACAATGATCCATCCGCTCCACACGACGACATCTCAACGACATACAGCGACAGAAGAGAAATGAAGTACCGAATCTTGCTCTAGCACTTTTGAAACCACGTCACCATGTGACCACGTAGCTACGTCAACAGACTCGGTGTGGCACGCAGGCATAAGGAAAATTGTTTCATGTGCTATGCAAGAGGTGGTGCCGCTTCGCTTCATCTTCAACCTTCATCCTCAACTGTTTTTCCTTCTTTCTATACCTCACTACGGTGTTCAAATGACAACGGGTTCAAATGAGAAAGGGTCAAAACGCGAAAGGTTAAAACGCGAAGGGCGTTTTGCGAATGGGTTCAGACGAGAAGGGTTCAAATGAGACGGGTATAAATAAGAAAGGGTCGAAACGCGAAAGGTTAAAACGAGAAGGGCGTTTTGCGAATGGGTTCAAAAGAGAAGGGTTCAAATAAGAATGGGTTGTTTCGAGATACACCCGTGCAGAGTTGTACAAGAAGCGCTGCCCTGGCGTATGAGCGCCTGTAGTCTAGACATCGTCACCGTCCCCCGTTTATAAAAGAGGTGGAAACAAAAGAAATTTACCACGACTTGAGGACTGAACCGGTTCCATTGAAATTGCTGTCCAAGGTCAGGTTCGTTAGGAGTCTCATAAGATCACGGAGGGATGCACAGGACCACGTGAGATGCTAGGAACCAAACGAAATGAACAATGACAGTAATGAACTAAACGAACAGACCCGCCAAGCACATCAAGCTAATCAGACAGCTATGAGAATAACGCACACGAGAGACACCGAGACTGTTGCCATTTTGAGACAACTATGACAACTGGACGAGGAAATGGAAAGCCACCGTGCCTAGTAATGGAAGGTAGCTTGCGCCACCCGACTTATTTGAAGGTATCTTAAAACCTGTACCTCTTTGCACTGCCAGTATGGTAAAAATATGACCATTTAAAAGGGTCATAACTTGCAGGATACAAAACCCGAGGTAACTAGGGTATGTCTCTGGAACCCATTATATGTCGCCGCATTTTTGCTAAATTCGCTCTATAAATTCAATTGAACTGCGGGACCCTAAAATCCACCCATACAGGATGGCCGGCATGTTCCTCGTTCCATAAAAAGGTTTCAATGTTGCTTTAATGCACCCGGGGAAAACTATTTTATTATTATTTATTACAACTCAATTCACCTTTCAGTTTATAGTGCTTGATCTCCTTTTCCTAAATCTTGTGTTTTGATATAGCTTGTTTTTTACCATCTAGATGCTATGCACATGAAGAAAAAACAGAAAAAAAATTTCAGGCAGGTTCAGGGGAGGGAGCAGAAAAGGAAAGGGGGGGGGTTGGAAGAGGAGGGGGAAAACGGGTTATTCGCGGCCTTCCCTCAAGGCCTCTAGTCCCTTCCGCCCAGTTCGGGACGGAGGGATGTCATCTCCCTGTCGGAAAGGGCGATCGCCTTGACAGCTAAGCAGTATCTCACTGCATTCTTCTCTGCCAAGACACAAAAGCCCAGTGTCCTGCTTCGCAGCATTATTTCCGAAAACGGATGCTGGCAGAACTTGGTCACTTTCCTCCTCGGAAACTTGCCGTCCCTGACGCTCTCCCAGCCTTTTCATGTAAGTAACTCCACTGAGTTGATAACCCATCTTGAGACTCTGCATGACTCTCCTACACCACTAGCAATGTTTTCTTTGGACATAGAGGACATGTTCTACAATCTAGACAACAAGTATCTGCTAGACTCCGTCAGCAACGCCATTCACGAACATGGAGCCTGCAAATTTCAGAATCCGTCGGGAATACCTGTTAGCGGTTTCATTTCTCTCCTTGAGTTATACCTTCGCTCGACACTGGTGGAGTACGAGGGAAACGTTTCCATTCAGAGGACCGGCGTATGCATAGGCTCCTGTCTGGCCCCTGTGTTGAGCAAGATTTTCCTGATGTATGTGGACCGGGCTATTAAGAGCCGAATGGAGGAGACTGCACCGGAGAGCAGGGTGTTCCGGTATGTAGATGATAATCTGATCGTGCACCAAAAACAGACCCCACCCGAATCTGTCATTGAGGCCTTCGTCTCGAGCCCCACCGGCCTCTCCTTCAAGAAAGAAGACCCGTCTGAAGGAGGTCTTGAATACTTGGACCTGCAGCTGAAAATGCACCCCGATGTGATATGCTGGGAGTTCAAACAGTGCACACAAAAGCCGGTCCTACCCTTCACGAGTGCCCACTCCAAAGCAGTAAAACGGGGTCTCGTAAAATCTCTCCTATAATCCTCTGGAACCAAGTTGTGCCCCCCTCTCACCGTGCACAACGTGCTTCTACAGACAGAGAGGCTGAAGAGGGCAGGATACCCTGAAGACGTAGTGGCAAACACACTAAAGAGGCTGATCACCGCCTCCCAGGCACCACCAGCCGCTCGTGTTCCTCACAAAAAACGTTTCACAGTTATCCCCTGTTCGCACCACCATGCACATCGCCTTAATGGACTAGCCTCTCCCTTCGACGTAAGGGTAGTGCTTAGCTGCAAGCAAAAACTTCAACAAATCTGCAGAAAAGTCAATACCCCCCCCCCCTCCACGACCCAATGCAACAAAAAGCACGAAAAATCAAAGTCAAATTTGGGAGGTTTACGTGCCAAACCAATGACAGGCATCTAGCACGCCCCAGCGAAGGACTGGGGACTAATTTCGACCACCTGAGGATGTTCTGACGCGCAACCGAAGGCTCGGTTACACGGCACCTTTTCCGCAATAAGCCTCTGTCAGACTGCGGGCACCTCGGCCGGGATTGAAACCCGCCACATGGGGATCCGTAGGCCAGCGCTCTCGCCTCGGAGGCACCGAGGCGGCTAACAAAGAGCACGGACAGCAGTTTGTTAACTGTAGGAAGGAGGTAGTGTATACCCTCCCTTTTTCGTGTGGGGAGAATATATATAGGGCAGACGGGCAGGTGCCTAAATGACTGCCTGAGGGAACACTCGTGAGATGTGAGCAAACCCCCCCCTCCATGCTTCCAATAGTCGTACACCATATGACGTGCGGCAGTTGTTCGCCCAGATACGAAGATACGAGCGTATTGGGAGGATGCCAGCAGAGATTTGGCAGGGAAGTTGCCGAGTCGTACGCCATTATGAGCTCGGTCACTAATGTTGCTTCGACTTCTCCGGCCTTTTCCGACAGGGAGATAACGTTCCTCCGTCCCGAACTGGGAGGAAGGGACCAGAGGCCTTGAGGGAAGGCCGCAAATAACCTGTTTTTCCCCCTCCTCTTTTAACCTTCCCCCTTCCCATTTTCTTCTCTGCTCCCTCCCCTGAACCTGCTTGAAGGTTGTCGTTTGAACGCAGCAGAAATAAATGTCGTTGAGAGTTGAAAGAGTTGTATGCGTCAGCTTTCGTCCCAAATTTGTGTTTATTCTTTCCGGTTGTTTAAGTATATTTACCAACATGCTTGTTTTTAATGTTACTTTTGTTGGGATACGACAATTTTGTTTCGTCAATACGAATTTGTTCTTACGTTTTGTCGGACGCAGATTTTTGGCATAAAATTGTTTCATGAATTTGGCCTTTGGCTGTGTGCACAATCTCTGGGGCTAAGCAAACGGATATTCCGACCAACATTCTCGGATATCACTGCACTCGAAAGGTCTATTGCTGCCAGTATCTTTATGCAAATGCACTTAGGGTTAGTCAGCCGCATGTGTTGGCATGTGCCCAACGAGGAAAGACCGCTTAGAAAATGACCAGGGAAGCTGCTGGCTTATGCGTAAAAAGTGAAGCTCATTACGCATAATTACATCAGTATGGCAAGTTTAACTTCTAACTTAAGGCCCGTTCACACTCTTGCGACTGCTTGCGACCTCTTAAACCTGGGTTCCTTAAAACTTCTTAAACCAGAGAACACACTGGCGCCATCTATTGGGAAGCAGTGTAAACTCGGCGGTCCGGCATATTTTTTTTTTATTTCTCGCGCAATATCCTTCCTTTTTTGGCTCGAAAAACTTTTGTCAATGTTATAAACGAGCCTTTCTATGGGTATTACGCACATTTGACCTTGGAAATCCCGCAAAACCTTCGCTTTTGTGAAATGCAGTTCTAGGGTCACCGCATAGATGGCGCCACAATGTCAGTGTGTTCCCTCATTCTAGAAACATTTAAGAAGTTATAAGAGATCTCGTCTCTCTCAGTCGTACTCGGTCGCAAGAGTGTGAACGGGCCTTTAAGCAAAGGCTTGTGAGCATTGTACGCACTCAGGTAGACATATACTGCAAACGAATTAATATTCGCAAACAATTCCGGTAGAATGTGAACACATTGGAATCTATATTGAGATCCCACTGTATCGCGAAAATTAGAACAACTTCAGCTTTGACCTAAAACGCTAAATATTGAGCCCGTGAAAAATAAGTTGTTTTAAAGGGGCACTGACACATCAAAATCATATTTTTTTTTATTATCCGAAACGATTGAAAACGATGCCGGGACATTACCCTCAAAATTTGAGATTTGGGAATTCAGTATTCGTGAAGTAAAAAAACAATTTCCAAATGCCGAATTCGAAGTTCCCGCGCGATCGGCGCCGGTGCCTTGACGTCAAAAATTGAGGAGACCTGAGAGTCCACTTTCCTGTCACCACTCCCTGCTGTTGCCATGGCGACCCAAAGCGAGGAGGATAGGAGCGAGCGCCGGCTAGCGCCGGCGTTGCGGCGGACCGGTTTTGAGCGGTGTCGCCTGTTTTCCGTTGGAGGATACAAATCCAGGAGACGGCACCACAACGAACTCCCGATTTTTGGAATTTCAAAAAGAAGGGCCGTAGTGCGTTCGCAATTGCGTTAAAAAACATGTTTTAAGATTGCCGTAATTAAATGTTCTAGAGATGTCGCCTACAAAGCTTCTAAATTTCCTGATTTTTGACGTCACCGATCAAAAGAAGCGAGGAGGCGAGAGGCGGGAAAATCAAACGCCAAAAATAAAAAGGTGCGCGCGCGCGCGGCAAAATTTTTTTTCGCGATGCGTTTTTTTTTGCGTGTCTATGACTACAACTTGCATCGTTTTAGACAATAAAAATAAATACGACCTTTGGGGTGTCAGTGCCCCTTTAAAGTATTTCAAGTAAACTGGCATAAAATTCTGTACAAGTGAAATAATTATACACACATTCCAAAGTATGACAGGCTTAACTTACGGGCTAACCGTTAGGTGTTCCGCACATGTGCGTCCGATTCTGGTGAATGAGACTCCTATTCTGAGCAGTTTCTGTGGCATTCTTTAGACTTGTAAACATCTTCACCACTGTGTGTTTGATTATGGTAGGTGAAACTCCTCTTCTGGGCAAAAAGCTTCAAGACAGAGCTTGCATTTAAATGGCTTTCACTAGCGTGTGTTCGATAATGGTCTCTCAGATGTGAATTTCGTGCAAAGGCAGGATCAAAACTTGCACTTAGGTTTTTCCACCACTGTGTTTCATTATGGCGGCTCAAATGGGAACAGGCGCTTGGGGACAGAGTTGCATTTATGTTTTTTTGCCAGTGTGTTTGATTCTGGTAAATCAGAAATCTATTCAAACCTTGCATGTGTCTTTGATTATGGCCTCTCAGATGTCATTCCCGAGTAAAGACTCCGGAATTACATCTTGCACTGGAAGGGCTTTTCTCCTTTGTCTTAAATTATGCCTGGTCACTAGGGAA